TTAAAACAATTATAAAACAATGTATTCACGTTAAAAACTGAATCAAACATTTGAGGCAAATGCTTTTATCATTTGTTCAGATTTTAATAGTAATCTCCCTGAATAAATTCATTCAGTCGCTTCACTTCTCCATGCTGCTGCTCCACTACTGCTCGAACAACATCCACAATCGAGATCATGCCTACTATTTTTCCATCTATCACCGGGGCATGTCGTATATTGTTCTCTATAATCATCAAAATGTCATCATTTTCCAAGAACATTGTCAATTTGATTGTAATTGGCGTTCTTTTCAACAATACTAATATGCTATATCTTACCAGTCATCAGCTGCATTGCTTGCAGAATGTTTGTGTCTGATGTTACTGTTATCAGCTTGTTCTGTCGAGACAGTAAAAATCAGGTGAAGAGTTAGAATAGAAGAGATCAGTGGACGGCACAAGAAGGTTAAGTCGAAAGAGAAGAAGTACAAACCTCATCAGTCATGATTTCCCCAACTTTCGTATATTTAGATGATCTATCCTGCACAATTACCTTCCGCAAATAGTCTGTTTTGACATGTAATCCCTCATCATTTACAACCACACATTCTTCCATAGAATAATGTTACATGTAAACACAAAATTTTTCCTTATTTTTTAATTACGCGTTCTCCAAAAATTCACCATTTCAAAACACATTTTTCCCAAAAAAAAAAACTATTTTTAATGGAGCCCAAACAGATCATCTGAGCGCGCAAATTTGAATATTTCACAAGGCAGGCGCTACAATGACCAGAAAGACTATTCATTTATAAGAGTAGCTACACGTCGACAAAGAGAGCACTAAATTCCCTTCTCAAAAGAGTTTTATTTTGCACCACTCCGGTATCAAGCCCCCCTTTCTCAAGTGTTTTTCAACTACTTTGTTTAATAATGTGGAGAACAATACCTCTTTCTGTAAAAATTCCTGCAATTAGCTGTTGCTGTCCTGGCTTTAGTACCACCAAAGATCCTATATTGTTTTGTGCCATCTGAAAATTTTAAAATAAATTATTGCTGCATTAATAACAAAAGGCGATTGATTTATCTCCTGCAATTTTTGTAAAGGTTGAAGGAACCGACTTGCTTCACAGCATCGTAGACTGCGTCATTTGAGCGACACCAGAGCCAAGATCCCACCTTTTCTTCCCCCTTTGTCATTAGTACTTCTGCGACTGTTGTATTCTTCAATCCCTTATCCGGAATTGTGCACGAGTCTGCCACTGTTATACTGCTAGAGTCTTC